CCCAAGCTTGTCTTGAGCTTCAAGCCTTAAGCAATTCTTCTTCCTTGGACTCCCAAAGCACTGGGATTACAGGCATGAACCACTGTGCCCAGCCTTAGTACTTAGGTTTTACACATTTAAATATACTTATGTCTCTAACTTGATCTTTCATCTTTCAAATATTTTGTTTATTTTTATGTACCTTTCTCAGGTTGTCCTTTCTCTTTTAAACTCCTTTAATAGTTATAACATTTGCATTCCATTCTGTAACTGTAATTCCCACAATTGTTTTAAATGTATCCTTAGAGCTTAGCTGGGTATAAAATTATTGGTTTTCAACTTTCATTTCCTAAAGTTTCTGTAGGCATTGCTCCTCTGACTTGTAAAGTTGAATGTTGACATGTGACTGTTTTGAGTCAGCAGATTTTTTTTTTTTTTTTTTTGAGATGGTTTTGCTCTGTCGCCTAGGCTGGAGTGCAGTGGAGCAATCTTGGCTCACTGCAGCCTCTGCCTCCCAGGTTCAAGCAGTTCTTCTGCTTCAGCCTCCTAAGTAGCTGGAAGTCCAGGCGTGTACTGCCACATCTGGCTAATTTTTGTGTTTTCAGTAGAGATGGGGTTTTGCCATATTGGCCAGGCTGGTCTTGAATCCTGACCCCAAGTGATCCGCCTGTCTCTGCCTTCCAAAGTGCTGGGCTTACAGGCATGAGCCACCATGCCCAGCCAGATTCTTTTCATCCTTGTAGATCAATTGATCTATTTGATTAGATGCCAAAAGGATTTTTTAATCTTCCAAGTTTAACTCTGCTAGAATATTTATATATATATATATATGAAATAGAAATCAACAAGAGTTTAGAAGAACTAGAAAAGAATAAATGTATAGGACAAAGGAGAAAAATATATATATTATATATGTAAAAAATATATAAATATAATATATATAATTATCTAATACATATTTACAATATAATAAATATAATATAAATATATATAAATATTAAATATAATGTAAAATATAATATATATGTAAATATATATAATATATAAATATATAATATATAAATATATATTTATATAAATATATAATATATATATGAGACTGAATTCTTACAATTTACAGACTTAAACTCTTTATTTTTGGAAAACTTAATTTCTTTTTTTTCCAATTTTTATCCCCAAGTATTCTGTGTCATAGAAACTTTTCTTAAATTATACTCCAATTTTTTGGTTTCTGGGTTTCGTTTTTCGTTTTTTTGTTCAGTTAAGTAGCAACAATGATCTTTTTTTTTTTTTTTTTTTTTTTAATAGATGGAGTCTCACTCTGTTACCGGGCTGGAGTGCAGTGGTGTGATCTGGGATCGCGGCAACCTCTGTCTCCTAGGTTCTAGCGATTCTCCTGCCTCAACCTCCCAAGTAACTGAGACTACAGGTGCGCGCCACCACGCCCAGCTACTTTTTCTATTTTTATTAGAGACGGGGTTTTACCATCTTGGCCAAGAGGGTCTTGATCTCTTGACCTCAGGTGATCTGCCTGCCTCGGCCTCCCAAAGTACTGGGATTACAGGCGTGAGCCACTGTGCCCGGCCAACAGTGATCTTTATGTTAGATCTCCTTTGTCCTATACATTTATTCTTTTCTAGTTCTTCTAAACTCTTGTTGATTTCTATTTCATTTTGTCCATTTTCTGGGTCTTGTCCTCTTGGGACTCTTACTGGGTTGTTAGTGGTGTCTGTTCAGCTTTTGGGTGTTTCTAGCTTTCCCGACTTGCAGTTAGCTCAAAGCCTTATGATTTCAGCTGGAATTGTCGTAAGCAAGTAGCTAAGGCTGTAAAAAGAAATCTTTGAAAGAAGCAGCAGTTGCTTCTCACCATCTGCTAAGTCAGCTGTTTGGCATTGTATCTTCTTCATTGTATTCCAGATAATCAAACTTTCAGTTTGAGGTTTGCCTTTTTTCTCTCTTATCCACTCATCTAAATTCCTTGGAGAGTTCTTTAATTTGAATGTGTATTTTGATAGATGTTTTTAATTTGTGGGTTTAAAAATAAATATTTTGGGGATTGGTTGATTCTGTTATATGGAAGAAGGATTATGGAGTTGTCTTTTTGCTTCCAGAGCAGATTGAGTATTCTTTTCCCTAGGGAAGAATTAGGAATAAATCCTGTGTAAATGGTTTATCAGGCTTTGTAGTACTCTATTAAATGCAAATATTATGTGACAGTTGAAGGGAAATGTGCAAAGCTGAGGAAAATACAAATTTGAGGGTGTTTTGATGTGTCTGACAGTTCTTTAATTGTATGTAGATGTGGTAGATAGACGCTTTTCGTTTTATCAGTATGCCTCTTAGGCTGTGGGTGTGTTTCCTTTCAAGCCTTATATCTATGATGGAATAGATTTAGCCAGTGTACTGATGGCATGCCAGTGGTCAAAGATTTGAGGACCACTTCTAGCTATGTTCCAATCATCCACTCAATCCACTTGGCTAATGGGAAAAGGCAAGGAATTCTAGGCATCACTTTAGACATTTAAGAATCACATGGTTCAAAGAAATTGTGGCCACAGGGTGTAAGAACTTGGGCAGTGATTGTGCACACATAATTTCTTGCCATTAAGCTGCTTTCCCCAGTCAGTGTGCATTAGGATGTTACTCCCCAGTGTATTTTCTGCTTGTTTGGTATACATTTGCTAGTCTCTATTCGTGACAACTGGAAAAAGGAAAGAGCCACTCTTCTGGGAGACAACAACTAGACTCTTAGAGTCTCAAGTCCATGGAGAGCTTTTCACTGCTCATTGCATTTTGTAAAGTTTATCTTGTGTAGTTTGGCCAGAAGCAGAAGTGACAGCAGTATGTGCCATTATTCACCTTTTATTCTATACCAAGTGCTGTGCTAAGTACCTTTATATACCTATCTCATTGTTTATTAGAATGTAATCACATGACTTTTTAAATTGTTATCCCCATTTTACTTATAAGAAAACTGAGAGGGCCAGGCATGGTGGCTCACGCCTGTATTCCCAGCACTTTGGGAGGCTGAGGCAGGCAGATCACGTCAGGCCAGGAGTTTGAGATCAGCCTGGCCAACATGGTAAAACCCTGTCTGTACTAAAAATATTAACGTTTGCTGGACATGGTGGTGTGCTCCTGTAATCCCAGCTATTTGGGAGGCTGAGAAGAATCATTTGAACCTGGGAGGCAAAGGCTGTGGTGAGCTGAGATCATCCCACTGCACTCCAGCCTGGGCAGCAGAGAGAGACTCTGTCTTAAAATGAAAAAAGAAAACTGATACTCACGGTTATTGCATGATAATTAAGTAGTAGAGTCAGGATTTGAATCCAGGACTCCCTGGCTCAAAAGACCATGCCCTTAACAATTGTATTGCTGTCTATCAGTGATGTTGGCTAGTCTTGTACATCTTCTAATGCCAAACAAGAATAAGGCATTATAGGCAATGTAGAAATTCTCCTTATACATTGTTTAATATGGGTTAACTCTTATGTTTGAATAATTAGAACAGACTTTCATGGATGGGTGTGGTGGCTACTTGGGAGGCTGAGGCAGGAGGATCCCTTGAGTGATCCCTTGAGCTCAGGAGGTAGAGGCTGCAGTGAGCTATGATTGCACCTGTGAATAGCCACTGCATTCTGCCAGCCTGGGCTGTATAGTGAGACCCTCTCTCTATAAAAACAAAAATCAGGCTTTCACACCTGATTTGTCCCTTCTTTTCACATAGTCTAGAGAATTGGATTATGAAATCAGAAGGGCTGAGTGAATATTGTTTTTCCACAGGTAATCTCATATGTTGTTGAATGGATTTTGCTTGAACTTTCTCCCTTTTCCTATATGGAAATCTTTAGGCCTTAAATGTCAACATGGAAATCTTTATCCCAAATAAAATTGGCTCTGAGAGAGGTACCATAGTGAATGATACAGAGTTGTTTAAAATGGCATCTAATGTATTTCTCACTGTAACTGGGAAATGCACACTTAGGTCATTTGGTGATCCAAAAAACATAGCTCAACTAACATCATATTGGTTTTTCTGGATAGGGGTAATGAAGTTAAATATTTATTTAGGTGGGTGTAATGGGTATTGCCATGTGAATTCTACTTAACTTTGTAATTAATGTGCCGTTACCCTGAGTCTTACCAAGTATTTCTGCATTCTGGAACAATAGAGACACACTCTCCTGTTGTTTGCAGTTACCCTTATAAAAAATTAAAAACAAACAAACAAAAAATGAGTTGTTTTCCCTCTTCTCAAGACAAGTTTGCTTTCTGCTTAACAAAAGTGTTTCCACTCCTCCTGCAGTATGAAGACAGAGCCCCACGGTCCACGCTTAGTTGTGTGACTGGGTTTGCAGCCCTCTGCTCATTTCCTGGCTTGCCTTGTGCCCTGAGGTGGGTGCACTGTCACCTTGAAATGGCAGTGTGGGGCAGTAGCAGGAAGTACCCAAGCAGGCAAGCCGGGCTTCTGCTTCACTCTTAAGTTCCAATAGTCTTTGATTTGGTCCTGTCCTGCCTGGGTGGTGAGATAAAGTTGTTCATTTCTCCTGATGCTTTTGCTTAAGGCACCCTCAGAAGACCTTTTTCCATAGTCTTGTGGGTTGCCTTAGTTAGCAACCCAATCACTAAAAACAAAAGGAACAGAGCTGCAAGAAGAGTCGCTCCTAATATTTGGAGCCAGGTAGTGAGACCCAGAGCACTGGGCTGAAGGGAAATTATTCCTGTGCTGTTTGGTAGAGTCTCATCCTGAGGACAATTAAATGGTCTGACGGGTCACTGGGTGAGACCAATTCCCTGGTTTGTTTACTTGAGCCCGATAGTTTTTCACCATCCAGCAGTAGGTCACAGTCCTGCTGCACCGTGCCCCTGGGCCTGCAGAGAGCAGTCCTTTCATACTGGGTTTCCACCAGCTTCCCTCAGGATCCTTGCATGTCTTTATTTGGTTGAATTGCTCTGTTGTGTCTCTCAGGCTCAGGGTAGAGGACAATGTCAGTAATTACTCTCGGCTTCATCTTATACAGGCATTTGGCTTTATGTCCCGAGTTGCCCTACAAGCAGAGAAGATGAATCATCACCCAGAATGGTTCAATGTATATAACAAGGTAACTAAACTGCCTTATTTGGGAATCACTTTAATTATGGAGTTTAAGAATCTTCTTTCTTGTCATCTTGTGCAGCTAAATGTCATTGTGCTTAAGAAAGGCTTATCCTTTCTCTCAGAATCCCTGTGTATTATTACAAATTAGTAACAAATTTTCAGGCCTGCTCCTAAGAACAATGAATAAGCTCTTTACTTTCATCCCTGTCTTTCTTCTAATGCTAATATGAGAAAGTTGGGCCAAATGAGGCTCCTGAATTAAACTGGAGTATCAGCCATGCTGATACATTTCAAAACTTAAGGTAAATTATTGAAAGAAATGATAGTAACTCAGATAGATATGGCCTTATTTATCTCATTGAAATACATTTGCTCAAGAACTGTGCTTTGAAAACTTAAATTCAGTATGCTGTGTAGGAACTGACCTTATTTAAGACAAAGGGCAGACTATAAAGTTTTGAGGGGCACAATGAGATGAACCTTGTTCCTCCAGAAGTGTCCTCGCCTTTACGGTTGTGCCATTTGGAATGTCTTACCGTCTAGATTTCTATGAAGTCTTCTCTAAGACAATCTTTGAAAAAGGAGAATTTCACAATTCTCATATGACTTAGAATAATTCAGAGCACCTTGGTACCAGGTTACACTTTTCTTTCCTAGTTGCTTCTCTTTGCTTGCCATTTTACTTTTACTTTTTAATCAATTAATCAAGAAACAGCATCCCATCCCTTACCCCCACTTCTTTAATTTGGAAATATGCTTTTTTTTTTTTTTTGAGATGGAGTCTGGCTCTGTTGCTCAGGCTGGAGTACAGTGGTGCCATCTCAGCTCACTGAAACCTCTGCCTCCAGGTTCAAGTGATTCGCCTGCCTCAGCCTCCCAAGTAGCTGGGATCATAGGTGCGCACTACCACACCTGGGTAATTTTTAGTACAGACGGGGTTTCACCATGTTGGCCAGGCTGGTCTCAAACTCCTGAATTCAGGTTATTCGCCTGCCTTGGCCTCCCAAAGTGCTGGGATTACAGATGTGAGCCACTGTGCCCAGCCAAAATGTGGTTTTTAAACATTGCTGCTAAGATATAACGTTTGATAGCTTGGTTTTTCTCAGCGGCCTGAAAATAGTTGGTGTAATTAAAGGAATGGGAGTTCAGGTGTAACCTCAGTCTCTTTTTATTTAAAGAAACAAGATTTGAGATTCTGGCAGCTGCGTTGCCGCATGATGTGAGAAAACTTTTTATTTCAAGGTGACTGTTGAGCCAGGCCTGGTGTAGACTGCTCCTGGAGTTCACCGGGGTTTGGAAATGTTTTGCTTATTCATAATGTAGTATTTTCTAAATCATTGAGTCCCCCATTCTCAAATATGAATGTTGAATAATAGACTGACTTCTGAACTGCCAAAGGAAAATAACCATGATTTGCTGCTCAGAGTTTTAAAAACTGCATTTCTTTTTCTTAGGTCCAGATAACGCTCACCTCCCATGACTGTGGTGAACTGACCAAAAAAGATGTGAAGCTGGCCAAGTTTATTGAAAAAGCAGCTGCTTCTGTGTGATTTCTTCCAAAATCCATGTAAAATCTTGTACATATCTTAGCAATGTATATTGAAGGGAATTTACGTGAACAAATTGAGTTGTCCTTAAGGCATCATATTTAGAGGCAAAAAAAGAAAAATAACAATTTAAGTTGTGTAAATTTAGTTTGCCTTTGTATACTACATTTGGTAAAATCATTGCTTAAATACGAAATGATTTAAACTTGAACTGGAGGTATTTTTCATGCTGTCTAATCATATACCTAAGATAAAAGCCATTATGTTAATATTCAAAAAGAGAAGTGGCATTCTTTTGTTTTTTGAGACAGAGTCTCACATTGTCACCCAGGCTGGAGTGCAATGGCACGATCTCAGCTAACTGCAACCTCCACCTCCCGGGTTTAAGTGGTTCTGCTGCCTCAGCCTTCTTGAATAGATGGGACGACAGGCTCGTGCCACCACACCCAGCTGATTTTTGTATTTTTAACAGAGACGGGGTTTTACCATCTTGGCCAGATGGTCTCGATCTCTTGACCTCATAATCCTGCTTCAGCCTCCTAAAGTGCTGGGATTACAGACATGAGCCACTGTGCGCCACCAGAAGTGGCATTCTTAAATTCGAGAAATTGGGATGGAGAGTATTCAGACATTTTGTAACGCTGAAATCCAAGCAATTTTGGTGACTTTACAAATGCTTTGTGTTGGAGAATAGTTGTAAGGTGGAAAAAGAATTATGAACTCGACAAATAGTGGGTTTTAACCTTATGTAACAATTCTTGTTTTGTTTTGTTTTGTTTGAGATAGGGTCTCGCTCTGCCGCCCAGGCTGGAGTGCAGTGGCAGGATCACGGTTCGCTGCAGGCTTAACCTCCCGGGCTCAAGCGGTTCTCCCTCCTCAGTCTCCTGAGTAGCTGGGACTATAGGCAAGTGCCACCATGCCTGACTAATTTTTAAAGTTTTTGTAGAGATGGGGTCTCCCATGTTGCCCAGGCTGGCCTTGAACTCTCGGGCTCAAGCAAGCCTGCCACCTCTGCCTCTCAAAGTGCAGGGATTACAGGTGTGAGCCATTGTGCCCAGCCACTATAACAGGTTTTTTTTTTTTTTTTGACACAGGGTCTTATTCTGTTGCCCAGGCAGGAGTGAGGTGGTGCCACCAATGCTTACTGTAGCCTGGACCTCTCAGGTGCAAGTGATCCTCCCACCTCAGTATCCTGAGTAGCTGCGACTACAGGATACACCACCACACCTGGCTTATTTTCTAAACTTTTTTTGGAGACAGGGTCTTATTATGCAGCCATGACTGGTCTAGAACTTCTGGCCTCAAGTGATTCTCTTGCCTTGGCCTCCCAAAATGTTGGGATTACAGGCATGAACCACTGTGTCATATTTTTAAATTTTCATTGATTTAGTTATTTTTAATAATTATATAAGAGGGGAGTCTCACTATGTTGCCCAGGCTGGTTTTGAACACCTGGGCTCAAATGATCTTCCTGCCTTGGCTTCCCAAAGTGCAGGAATTATAGGTGTGAGCCACTGCGCCTAGCCCCATAACAATTCTTATGAAGCTAAAGTTGATTTGATTTTAGCTGCTGTTCCTACTTAAGTAATTAATTAAACAAGTCATAAAAATTGGGTGAGCTATCTTGGTGTGTTTTCTTTACTTTTCTCTTTCAACAGAGAGTTGAAGGAAAGGACAAGTATCTTATCTGTGGCTTCCAGGAATGAGTGGCAATACAAGATTTACTGTTACAGTAACCAACTCACCAGGTCGTTATTTGACTTACTGAGTTAAGGAGGAACTAAGGGTCATTTTTTCCCCCATCATTTGCATGTTGTGACTCCTGAACTGAGGGCCTACAGCCACTGAAGCTAGAAGCTACTTGGGTATTATTCAGTAGTGAGCTCTACCTACTCCATGTATCACTGACGGATGTAAAAAGGAGTATCAGGTAATCTATTATTTAAAAATTGTAATAAGAATATTCTTTGAAGGAATTCAGGAATGTACTACTAATGAGATTATGATGCAGATATATCCATCCAAGAAGTATTGTTAGTCCCTTGAAGCATCATGGTAGTGGAATTTAACACAGATCATGTTTGTAACCCACCTCTCTTTAGAGGCCAGAGAAATCATTCATTGTTACAACAAGCAAACCTTCCCTGCTCCATGTGATCCTTACCCCAAACCTGAGAGATGTACAGGAACATGGCACAGAGGCTGAGCTCTCTGAAGCCAGTTCCTGGCTAGTTTTGCTGGCCAGGGAGAGGCAGGTATGGTCAGTTGCCCTGTGGACATGTGGTGTGCAGGGAGAGGAAGTGGGAAAGAGCCACCTAGGCTCTCTGGGTGCCGGGGAATCCAGATCCTTAGCACTATAACTTGTGTTCTTAGGATTCTTTCAAAGGAAAAGACAAAGCTGTATGTTTTTATAAGCTCTTTCCGATAGTATAGATTTTATACTTTTTATTACCAAAGAGTTTTAGTTAAGTGCTTCAATTTTCAATGTTAATTTTTAAAAATTTGCTTTTGAGAATCATCACCTGGATTTACATGAATTTTTTAAGCATGAAGAAATTTAAACATATTCAAAAGTACATGAATAGTACATTGAAGCCTTACATACTGATCACCCAGATATAAAAACTACCAAGATTTTGTCCTAGTAGCTTCATTTTCCCTGTTTCTGTCTTTGCTAAAGTATTTAAAAGCAAATCCCAGATAGCTTATCATTTCACCCCTATATCCTTCAGTAAGTGTCTATGGAAAATATGGTCATTTTCTTATATAAACCACAGTACCATTAATATACCTAACAAAATGATTCCTTGGTAAACCTAATACCTAGGCAAAAATCAAATTGTCCTGAAGATCATGAACGTCTTTGGACAGTAGTTTGGTTCAAACCCAGGATCTATATGAAGCCCACTCATTATATCTGGTTGTTGTGTCTCTTTAGTCTCTTGATCTGGGGCAAGCTCCTCTCCCTTCCCCATTTCCCCATGTAATTTATTTATTGTAAAAACTAGATCAATTGTGCTGTAGAACATTTTGCCTTCTGGATTTGTTTGTTTGCTTCCTGCGGTGTCATTTAACTTGTTTTACCATACCCTACCCGGAACCCTTTTCCTCTATTGTGAGTGGAAGTCTGAGAGCTTAAACTTGATGGCTGTGTTAACATGTGTCACGTGTAGCACAGTGGAGAAAGCGGATGTGGTTCATGATTACAGTGGTAAGACCTGAGAATGAAGTTGCTAGATATCACCTATATGAGGGTGTGACATAAGGTCTATATTAAGGGTCCCTGCGTCTGTTGGAACTCAGAGACTTTACTATAGAGACTCAAAGATCCCATATCCGAAGTCCATGGAAATCCTCATGGTGGTCAATTCTGACAGAATGAAACACCAGACTTGCTTCGGGTAACTTACGTTTCAACTTAAAAGAGACACTGTCACAGTTGGAGGTCCCCAAGTTCCTGTCTGTTCCAAATCTTTGCATGATGGCAGTGGTTTCTCTCATGTGGTAAGCTTTGGCTTCCCTATATTTTCTTGCGAAATGATTGCTGGAGAGGAGTTAAACAGACATGACCTGTGACCCCATGCATGACCTCCACAGATAGTAAACCGGGGCCAGCATGGTTGACGATGTCCTTTCCTACAATGAAGTTAATGAAAGTTCTGAAAATAATAGTTACTTTCTGATGTTGATAGAATTTAGGAAACCTTGGGATAAATAGCGTAAGTATGACTGTTTATGTTTTTGCTATAGACAAAAAGCGGCGGCATGTACATTGTATTTGGACACAAGCCTGCCTCCATTAATGTATTGAACTATTGGACCAGCGGGGAGAGTAGGGAGCATTCTGTACACTTTCTGATCAGCATTCAGAAACATACTATAAAGTTGGACTCTGTAGCTTTCAGTTTTGCAAAGCTTTCTGTGAGACATCAGGAGCTGTAATAGGGTTTGGCCATCATAAGTGAGCTTTGTGTTTCAATGCCAGTTACTCAGGACTAGTAAATGAATGATATCGTCCAGAGGATGTCAGAGTCACCAAGCTGCCACGCCTGCCAATCGCTGACTCTCCCTGGCTATCTGTGGCTGACGTGGTGCTGCCCAGGTCACGCAGAGTGTGAGTTGCTGCTGAAAGGGCACTGGAGATGGCCCTTGGGCTTCTCATCCCAGGATGCCTGCCCTGCCCACCAATCCATGAGAAGATAAGGGATGATTTCAGTAGGCCCTGGATCAGCTTGGCACCTCTGATTTCCTGTTGCTTTCCACTCACCCAGCTGGAGTTTCATTTCCAGACTAAAGTCTTCATCAGTGGCTTCAGAAATAGCATTCATCTGTGGCTGTGCTGATATAGTCCACCAAGAACAACTGGGCTCTTCTCTGTTGCTTTCATTGGGCTACCTTCCCTCTCCAAGTGGCATGAAAGAATTCCTTACTTTTTAAATCTGTTTTCTGTTTTTCTGTGAACATATGCTTTGGTGCTTAAAGAGGGAAGTCACAGAAGTGTACTGCTGAGTTTCCTGGAGATGAAATCCTGCTGTGCCTAGCTATAAGAGCGAGCACAGGGATCCTGATGCCATTATTTTGCATATTCATACAGCACATGCTTACTGAGGGCCTTCTGTGTACCCAAGGGGATTGGACACAGTGACATGGCAGGTGGAAACAGATGGAGAACTGATGTGGGCTCTCTTGGAGCAGCTGCCCCAGGAGCCTCCTGTGGGTGGATGTTGGGCAGGAGCCCTGAGACATTAGAGGCATATAACTAAAGGACACAGCAGGAGTTATAGGAGAAGCTGATCCCTGAGAGAATGAATGTAGAGGGAGATGATGGGGCTGAAGTTTGAATCATGGGGACATGAATCCCAGTGATTCTTAAAACTTTGCTGTTGATGATTTTAAATGGAGAAAATGAGTACATAAGATGTTATTTCCCAGTTTAGTTTATTGGTTGCTCATGAAAGTATTTTCCTACCACAAGTGGTCATATATACTTGTGGAACACCAGGGACAGCAGAGGCGATGGAGTGGTTACCTCCTTTTCTTATGGACCAAGAACTTTGTTGTCTAGGAAATTGACCAGTTTAGCCACTGAACATTTAGTACAACACAGGGCTACCCAGATTTCACTGTCTTGATTTGTCTTGAAAACCAAAGGAGTTAGGAGAAGGTGAGTGAGGAAAATATATTAATCTTGAGAGCTAAACAGAGCAAAAATCCCTATCACTTTTGTACTTAAAACATCCCTGCCTCATGGGCTCATTCTTTATATTTTATCTAGGTGGTTTATATGTGCACATTCCATACCTGCAGTTAGCCAACTCAGGATTTATGTAATATAATAATATCTCCTTTTTTTCTTTTTTTAAGAGATGGGGTCTCATTCTTTCATGCAGGCTGGAGTGCAGTGATGTCATCACAGCTCATTATAACCTCCAACTCCTGGACTCAAGTGATCCTCCCACTTCAGCCTCCCTGGTAGTTGGGACTACAGGTGCATGCCACCACATCCACTTAATTTATTTTTATTTTTTATAGAGACAGTCTCACTATGTTGCCCAGGCTTGTCTTGAACTTCGGGGCTCAAGCAATCCTCCTGCCTCAAACTCCCATGGCTAATTTTTATTTTTTTTTTGAGATGGAGTTTTGCTCTTGTTGCCCAGGCTGGAGTGCAATGGCATGATCTTGGCTCACTGCAATCTCCACTGCCTGGGTTCAAGTGATTCTTCTGTCTCAGCCTCCTGAGTAGCTGGGATTACAGGCACCCGCCACCATGCCCGGCTAATTTTTATGTATTTTTTAGTAGACACAGTGTTTCACCATGTTGGCCAGGCTAGTCTCGAGCTACTGACCTCAGGTGATCTGCTTGCCTTGGCCTTTCAAAGTCTGGGATTACAGGTGTGAGCCACCACATGCTGCCACTAATTTTTATTTCTTCTTCTTCTTTTTTTTTTTAGAGATGGGGGGGTCTCACTATGTTACCCAGGCTGATCTCAAACTCCTGGTCTCAAGTGATCCTGCTATCTTAGCCTCCCAAGTTGCTGGGATTATAATTTTTCTTTTGTTCTAAGTCAAACCCATCACAGTCTTTTCTTGTCCTTCCAGGTGTTTCCAGTGGCTGGGCCCTGGATGTGCTCTCTTTTCCTTAGAGCCCAGAGAACTTTTCTTTCCCTTCTTATATGATCCCGTAACTTTTTCTAACACATTACCAAGGGCCTGTGTCAATCAGCTGGGGGCATTTCTTGAAGGGAGAGCCTTTGTGTGGTCTGTTTCTAGTGACTTCCAGCTTTAACCCAGAGCCTTATGATTCTGCATAACGTGGATGCCCATAGCCTTTTTGTTGAATGGAGGCACTCAGTCTCTTTGGGAAAAGAGAATTCATGATAGACCCACTGGGGAGCTCCCCACTTCAGGGGCCTCAGACTGGTAAAGCAACAGAATGTCCAAGAGTGACCTCATAAAGCAAGGATTCCCTTCGTGGACCCTTCTCCACTGCCTCTCAGAATCCAGATGCTAAGGAAAATCCCTAAGCAGAGATTTTCTGTTGGATGATAAAAGCAAGAAATAAACGTTGGAAATTTGGAAAATGTCTCAACACCGTCACCAGAGCCTGTTGAAAGTCATTTCTAGTTCACTGATTGCTACATCAATGGAATTCTGCCCAGCATTCAAGAAATTTAAGTAAATATTCTCTATCTCCGTTACCTGTTAAGAAATGTGCAAGTGGAAGTATCAGGGCAGGGTGTTGGCGTTCGCTCAGCCTCTTCCCTTAGACACTCGTCTGCTTACCAAAATAAGTTGCATGTCCTTGACAATTTGGTTTCTGTGATTGGTGAGGTTGGCATCCTGTTATGTGCCCTGTAGACTTGAATGACCAGTTTAACTCAGTTTTGTCCTTTTCTATTAATGACTGTTAGATAAACTGAAGGCTTTTCTTTTTATTTTTTGTAGTAGACCCCATCTCAAATCAGATAGTGAAAATTATATATCTTGATATATTAGAAAAGTATATATATTAGAAAAGTATATATATTCTGGCCGGGTACGGTGGCTTACTAAGCCTGCCGAGGTGGGCAGATCACCTGAGGTCAGGAGTTTGAGACTAGCCTGGCCAACATGGCAAAACCCCATCTCTACTAAAAATACAAAAATTAGCCAGGAGTGGTGGTGTTCACCTGTAGTCCTAGCTACTTGGGAGGCTGAGTTAGGAGAATCGCTTGGACCTGTGGGGGTGGAGGTTGCAGTGAGCTGAGATTGCACCACCCCGCACCCCAGCCTGGGTGACAGAGCAAGACTCTGTCTCAAAAAAAAAAAAAAAAAAGAATATCTATTCCATGTTTTTTAACTATTATGAGAATGTATTCATTTATAACATATAATGGGAAACAGTAATATGTACTCTTTGAGAAAAATTGCAAAGCACAGATAAATGGAAATAAACTGGAAAAAGAATTGTCTGTAACCTCACCATCCATAGACAGACACTGTTATCATTTTGGCATATTTCCTGCTGATTTTTTTTGCCCATTTTTGCACAGGTGAGATAATTTTGAACAGAAAATTTTGTACCTTTGGTTTTTGTGTTTTGTTGCACACAAAACAAAACAAGATATAAAAATGGATTGTAAACACTTTTCTAAATCCTGAAAAATGCATAGACATATTTTAGTGTCTATATTTCAAGAGACGGACATACCACAAATATTTGCCCAGTCCTTTTTGTTAGATGTTTAAATTGTTTTCAAGCTTCTCAGTACCGGAAATAATGCTGAGACATTTTTAGTTGAAGTTATTTCATTTCAGGTTGTATTCTCTTGGGTCAGAGAATGAATGGTTCTAAGGCTTTTCAAAAAAGCTGGTCAGTTTTCATGCCTCTGGCAGTTTTAGACAGTGCTAAATCATACTACACTGTTGCCAGCATTAGATCTTACCATGTTCAAGTCTTCGCTAATTTTATAAACGAAAATAATGGTGCATATCCCTGATTAGTGTTGCTATAGAACGTATCTCGAGAAGTTTATTGGTCTTTGGTATTTATTTCATGAATAGGTGTGTGCCCATTTTCTCTTGGGGTGTTCAGTTTTTTATTATTGATGTGAGCATGTGTATGGGTGATATCTGATGATTATCAGTTTTACTTAGTAGACTGGCAATATTTAGTCTTGCTCACGCTGTGTTCCAAGTGCCTACTATATTGCTTGGTATGTAGTTGCCACTCGATAAAGATTTGTTGAGTGAATAAATGAAGATGACACTTTGTTTTGCTGGAGAAGGAGTGGTGACCATTCTTTTTCAGAGGTCCAGGGGGAGGGAACTGAGTGGGGACAGAGTATCCATGATCATCATGTGTATTTCAGTGGTTATTTATTCAACATTTCATTGCTATGTAAAAGTATATGTACATTTATATTCACAGAAGGGAGAAAGCAGAGCCTTGTCCCTGCAAAAAGGTATGCATTATGTGGGCATCCGGCTCTGTAGCGCCATAACCATACTTTATATTCAACTTTTTGACAGGCGGAAAGATGATGAGTTTCGGGCATTTGTGAAGAAAGTCATAATGAGCCGTTTCTTTAAGTTAATTATGATTAGTTCTGTCGGATTGAATGCCTTTTTTACGGCCTTGTGGACCAGTTATGACATCAGGTACCGCTTGTTCAGACTTCTTGAGGTAAGCAGACAAAATGGGTCAATTTTCTTCTTTTATGAAAGATGCTTTATTTCTGGAAGCATTATAAGATTTTTAAGGTATTTTATTTCTAGAAATTTTCCGTAGAATTCTAAAAATACTCTAAAATCTGGGAAGAGGGTGACAAGAGCAGCAGTGATGACATTTTTTTTTTTTTTTTTTTTTGAGACGGAGTCTCGCCCTGTTACCTAAGCTGGAGTACAGTGGTGCTATCTTGGCTCAGTGCAACTTCTGCCTCCCGGGTTCAAGAGATTCTCCTGCATCAGCCTCCCAAGTAGTTTGGATTATAGGCACACATCAGCATGCCCAAGTAATTTTTGTATTTTTAGTAGAGATGGGGCCTTGCCATGTTGGCCAGGCTGGTCTTGAACTCCTGACCTCAAGTGGCCCACCTGCCTTGGCCTCTCAAAGTGCTGGGATTACAGGCATGAGCCACCGTGGCTGGTCAGTGACAAGGTTTTTAAGTCTCCTTGAAATCTCCTCTCAAAAACAGAGCAAGCCTGGGCAACAAAGTGGGACCCCCATCTCTATTTAAAAAAAAGTTGGGCATGGTGGTGCGCACCTGTAGTCTCAGCTACTCTAGACGCTGAGGTGGGAGAGCCTGGGAGTTCGAGGCTGCAGTGAGCTGTGATTGCACCACTGCACTCTAGCCTGGGCAACAGAGTGAGACCTTGTTGGAACCAACCAACCAAAAAAAACCAGAGCAACTAAATAGCAAAGCCAAGAACCCATAGGAAGCATTTGCAGCAAAACTAGTTAGTTTCCTTACTACAAGCCACAAGAACTGCATAATATTAGCCTTGTGGGGGAATAAACAAAGGGATGCTATTATATATTCATTAAAAATGTGATGGGCTGATGTGAGAACAGCATTTGATATCAAAAAGGGTATTGCCTTGTCCAATACTGGGCTAGATCAAGAGATTCCTGGTAATTTTTGAAGGGGCTAGAGCAGCAGATGCTATGAACTTTTAAAGCTGACCAGCCAGAACTCTCTTTGAAGACAGGATCCCACAGACAGGATAAATATTGGAAATGGAATAAAAACTGAGCAGGTTGGAGACATAGAGATGAAGGAAGAGAAGGTTCAGATAAAATGGGAGGAGGGGAATGGAACCAGGAAACCTCAGAATTTTTTTAAACACAGCACAAAAGCAGAAGAATGAGCTCAGTGAGGTTAGAACCATACTATCTTCTAAAAGTTCAAGAAAACTAATTTTATGTAAAACAGAACAATAGAAAAGGATTGATGCTGCTATAGTTGTGTTTTTAGGAAAAAAAAAAAGGATTGCGATAAAGTCTCATACAAAATTACTTTAAGAAAAAGGAGAATAAGGTAGAGAATAATACCCTTATACAGGTTGAGCATCCTGAATTTGAAAATCTGGAATCTGAAGTGCTCCAAAATTCAAAACATTCAGAGCACTAGTGACACGACACTCAAAAGGAAATGCTTACTGGAGCATTTTGGATTTCAGATTTTCAGATGTGAGTTGCTCCACCAGTAAAGATAATGCAAATATTCCAAAATCTAAAAAATTTGAAATCCGAAACACTTCTGTTCCCAAGCATTTCAGATAAGAGATACTTAACCTATAGATAATGAAAGCCCACCACAATGACATGCCTACAAACAGGAAAGACTGTAGCGCACGACTTTAAAACAAGCCACATATTTAAGAAAGTGATTTAAGATAGGAAAGAACAGAAGTGAAAAGACAAAACTCAGGAAAGAATTAGAAATAAAAGAAAAATTAAAAAGAAGTTTTTGCACTGCATGGATAAAAAATAAAAGAAAAATTTCAAAAATGAAGACTAAAATAGACTAAGAGCAATTAATTGCAGCAGATAATAGCTTAAAAGAAATATAGGATTAAATGTAGGACATTTTTTAAATCAATAAGAAATGAAGAGATGAAAAGGAGTCAGGAGAAAATGATGAACCTTGAAGATGGAGAAGAAAAATCCAGGATAAGGACAATAGGAGCCCCTGAATTTGAAACAAAACAGAAACAAAGCAAAGGAACAGAACAGATGCTAAAATCTATCATCCAAGAAAAGTTACCTGAAACTAAAGGTCTGAAACTATGTGTTGAAAGAGTACACATTGCATACCTGAGAATATGGACTTTGAACAATAAACACCAAAACATACTCTAGTAAAATTACTGGATTTTAAAGGAACGAGGGGGTTAAGGAAATTATAAGTATCAAGGCAGTGTGGCTTGTAAGGAGAAGACAGTTACTTATCATTAAACTTTGCTATGGTAAAATAATATGCCGAAAGAAAATAGAGTTACATATGTAAGATACTTAAGCAAAGAAAATGAGAAGCAAGAGTTTTAGATCAGAAAAACTGACTTTCGAGTATAAAGGACACAAATTCATCAATATTAAAAAAACTTGGGGGATATTGTTTCTATGAGCCCATCCTCAGTAATTTACTAAATAAAAAGTTTCAGCAAACCAAAATGACTAGAGAAACATCAACGTTAGGACTGAAGATGAACATTAAGTATGTAGTTATTTGTGGAACTGATACTGATTGTGCTTTAACAGAGAGAATATAGTATATAATGAATGTATCTTCTGACAGTGAAGATAGAGTATGACTAAAAAATGGGAGACAATGGGGAAAACCAATATAAAACGTTTTAAAATAATTTTCAGTAATTAATTTAGTGGGAACACTATTAGTAGTGTTATTCTGAGACTTGTACGTGTGTAATACAAGATAGGACAATTGAGTAATTACGAGACAGTTTATTTCTGTCATTTCCTGTATTCTTAAGAACCAGGATACTCACGGAAGAGAGAACCAGGAACTTCTTTGATAAATAACCAATTCCAGGTCTAGGGCAGGAGGTATACCAGATGAGCCAGGATTATCTTGTCATAGACATAGAAAGGAAGCTATCAAGGACTACTGGGGCCATGTCAAAAAGCTTAGGAGACTATGTGAAGAGGTTCCTACTGGCCAAAGATGGGACAGTTTGAGCTCCAATAAGAATAATAATTACCATGTATTGAAACTCATCAAATAATCTATGAGGTTATAAGATACCCCAAAATAAACTGTCCACTTTTGGAGGATGATAAGGAACTAATCCTTTATCTTGATAATTACTAAATTAAGGGAGAGAATCAAGCGTTACTGACCTTATGTGAACTGCAGTTCTGAGTAAGCAGATAGTAGGTGAGGGGAAACATCTTTTTATAGATGTGTCCCCCTTAATAAATAAAAAAGAAATGATATAATATTACAGTTTTTCAATGCCCTAGGAAGTAATTGATCTAGGCACTGAGCATCAATGGCTGCTACTTTCATAAAAAGAGACAACCAGAAATTATGTGCCATCTGTAAAAGAACAGCACCTCTAATCTTGCCCAGGAGATCAGGAAATATGGAGGACAGAGGGATATGCTGAGCTGTACCATGAGCACGAACTCAGCAAAATCCAGACTGGGAGATTTTACAAGTCAAGCTCCCCGGGTTCTTTAACAGATAAATTGTAAGGAAAGAGAAAAGGAATGGGACACTTAAAAGACACACCAGAATTTTAAAAACTTATAAAATGGCAAGACTACTTATTAGTTCTAGGGATACATACGTGGGTTTTTATCTATAAAGAAATGCAAGGAATTACTATAAAAATTTGGATAGTCATTAATTTTGGCGGGAGGGGTGAAGTTGTAATTGGGATATGGGGCATATGAGGGGCTTCTGGGATGACAGAGTTCTACTTCTTGACCTAGGTGGTAGTTACAGGGATATTGGCCTTGAAATAATTTATTAGGCTATGTATTTGTTCATGTGGTTGTATATGTGTGTTTATTTTACAGTGAAAAGGTTAAAGAGATACTCTTCTTATCTTTCTTTAAGATAAATTACAAATTTCCTTCTTGGGGGTGAAAAGGTTAGCATAAACGTAGTGTGGTATCAGAAGCAGTCGAGGTGGTGGGATACCACAATTAATACTTAAAATGTGTCAGATCCACTTGGCACCACTTCTGTGAACATGTTGGTATGGCAGTGAATTCCACACCACAATTCCACAGAGACTGGTTATGGACTGTGGAACATCATGTTAGTTATAGGACTTGGCAGGGGTCAGGGAAAGAGACAAATTGAGGAAACTGAATCCTCTGATTCCCCTCCTGAGGCCGTAAGGGTCCCGAAGCATGTGTCCTGGTTTAGGGACCTGGTTTGCAAGGCTAGGGAATGTTCTGTGCCATTCAGACTTCGGGATCATGCAGATTTGGGTTCAAGCCCCAGCTTCCTACCTTATTACTAACTGTGAGAATTTGGACAAGTTACTTAAGCCCTCTGTGGTTTGGCTGCAACATTTGTAAAATGATGTAATTAATACACAACTTACAGGGTGGTGGTACAGCCATTGAAAATAACATGTGTGAAAGCCCCTGGTTAACTGAAACTGAGAAATTATTAACACTCCTGGAAACCCCATTGAAGGTGCTGGAAAAGACCTGAGAGAGCCCTGATTTCTCACCTCCAGCTAACCTTGAGGCTTTGCGCAAGCAGAAAATGAAGGCTGAGGCAGAGTTGTAGGTTGCTAGAGCATTGAGCATGTGCCCCCACAGACTCCCCTTAGCTAGAGGCTTAATGATTTCAGTCATGTAAGAAAATTTCTGTCCAATCATTTGTAGGGCATTAAACTGAACAGAAACCTTGGTGGCCACATGTGACAAAGAATATAGACTTTACAGATTCAGTTCAGGAAAGTCAATTTAAAAAAGAAAAGAAGAACAACAACAAAGCCTGGGGAAAGCAGAGGGTATAATTTTCAGAGTTGCAACATTATGTTATGTAAAATCTTCAGTTTTCACCAACAAAATCATGAGACATCCAAAGAAACAAGAGTGTATGGCTCATACACAAAGAGAAAAGCAATTAATAGAAAATATCAGCCAGGAGCCCTGGCTCATACTTGTATCTCAGCACTTTGGGAGACCGAGGCAGG